CTCTCTCATGCTCACTCTCACTCTCGCTCAGTCTCATGCTCACTCTCACTCTCTCACGCTCACTCTCTCACTCTCTCATGCTCACTCTCTCACGCTCACTCTCTCTCACGCTCATACTCACTCTCTCTCACACTCTCTCTCACTATCTCTCTCACTCTCACACTCACACTATCTCTCACTGTCTCTCTCACTCTCTCAATGAAAGCATATTTTCAGTAAAAGAATCATGAAATCATTGAGGTGATCTGCTGCTATTATTTATACATCGAGTGAAATATCCTCCATAATATCACATCTTTATGGGACCTAAGATCAGTGTATCAGTCTGTCTCCGCTCAGCGCTCACAATAGTTCCCATATTTCAGATTGTAGAAGCACAATGCTGACAAATGTTCATTCAGAGCACAAGCCGATAACCCGGCATCCATGTAGGTCCACTATGTTCTAAATGCTCTCCACGGTCCCAGCACCACAGAGATCCACCGTATCCTCTGTTCATGCAGCTGATTACTGATTATTGAGATCAAGGGAGGCTCGTCTCTGCGGACACCTTTAAAACGTGTTTTTACAGTAAAGAGCTAAACAAATACATTTGACTGAAAGTGATGAGTGAACACTGAACTACTGACATCGTTTGTAAAAGACTGAATCCTTATGTGACGAATAAAGAACATGAACAAACTATTCACACGGGCAGTGATGCGAATTTGCAACAATTGCACTTTTTTCAATACCAGATTTGAATAGATTTGCACAGGAAGTGGACGCTGCAGCATCCTGTTGATCCAGATCAGCATCACAGTCTGAGGTAAGCTGATGTACAGCATACGATACTGTAAGGTATTTGATTGAGTTTCCTTCTGGTGAAATACTCTGAGTGACTTTGACTACAGAGCCTCTGTTGTGGTTGAATACTATAGTTCACACTTTGAATAAGTCCGTTCCTCACAACGTGATTGGTCGATGCCTTTTCTTTGTTCTGAGAGATGATGACCTCTGAACTGTTCCGTTCAGTGTGAAAGTACTCGTGACAAAAACAACGGTTCGATAAAATAACTTGGTGTGCAACTGTATCGCACACAAAAACAAAAGAACACTTCCTGTTGGACAACAGAAGTACATCAGCTGTTCACCTCCTCGTGGTTCCTCTGCTGCCTCCTCCCCAGCTGTTCCTCTTGCGATCCTATTTGTCCCCCCCCTCATCAATTAGTTCCCAGCTTCCAGTTCCCCTTCTCTGCTTCTCTGCCTGAGTCTGTTTGTGTCTTTTCCTTTTTTTTGCCTTATCTGCCCATCTAACTATCCGATGTTTAGAGTTTGCTGTCAGAGCCAACACAGCCTGCTGTTATTCCAGCTCTTTGCCCTGATCTGTCCATCCTGCCTCTAGTCTCTATCCAACGCTTCTAATTTCCTCTTGTTACATGATTACAGTCTTAGCAAGAGATGTTGACTTGGGTTACAATAAGTATCCTTGTTCTGTAAAATAAGTATTGTTGTGTAACTTTTGTACTTGGCGTTGGTTCAGTACGTACGTCGCATAACAAAAGAGGTTAAACAGTCTCCTCCATGCATGACGTGGTTCATATGATCACATTGTGTTAGGTTGATGAAAAGATGCTCGTTTGGGTTCAAATAACTGCAGAAGTGCCGTTTGCGTCTGTACGTTAGGAATTTCAGATTGTGACGTCGATATTATCATATGATATATATTATTATATGATATACATTATTATGTTATAGTGAATATTA